GGCCTCATCACTATAGTGTTCCTTAACTACAGAAGCTAAATATCCCAACCCACAACCAAGCTCACTGGAATTGTCTTTTTGGAAACTTGATATTGCATTACCTAGACCACTTACAAACTTTGTGTTAGAATCATTCACAATATCAACTTTAGTGGATCTCTCTCCTGCTCCATCATCATGAGAAACAGAAACCCTCGGCTTCTCAGGGACAGTACCCTGATGAGTACTCTGTCCTACAGCTGAGGCAGTCAGGATATCAATAAACTCTGTAAATGTACCTCTCTGTACTGCCTCTCTGTAAATGATGTTTAATAAATGCTGCCATGCATAAATTTCACAGTGGACAGGCTCTGGCCACTGTCGGTCTGCAAAAATACCAATCTGGGGTGGACCTAACTGCCGTATCCCACTTTCTGCCATAAACTTTAGTTTTCTGGCATGGTGATTCTTCTCAGACAAATTAGACGGCAATGAATTCATGAAATTGTCAACCTTGTTAACATGAGATTTCCTGATTTCTAGTGTAAATGGCTGAAATAAATCTTCTTCCCTCAACCCAATTGTAGCACCCATGGTACACATGTTTCCTTTGCTAACATCAGCATAAGGAGAAGGATAAGTAGCAACTTGATTTAATTCATTATTAGCCCAGCTCTGCCAGCTCATATCAGCACTTGGCTGAAACTCTAAAGTACATTACCTGTCACAAACATTAAAAACATTACCCTCTAACATTTCCATTTCATCAGTATGTTGCTTCTTTCATGCATCTCATGTTTTTCCCCCAAACTGACACAGTGTAAAATATATTGGAAATCCCTACTTCTTACCCTATCCCCAAAGTTCCAGCATGTCAGACTTCCTATTGACATAGTTAGTTGGCTGGACTCAGGAGCCCCATCATCAGAAAATTGAAATATAAAATGATTTGTGTTCCCATTGAACCAAGTGAGTTTACGTGACAAATGAGGAAGTCTCAAGTGCAAATCAATTACCATAAATACCAACCCAGTTATTGTTCTAGAAACACCCGGTGCATTGGGGATTTGATTGACATGGCCAATGTCAAGACTCTTCACAAAATTTTCCACCCGCTTATCAGAAATAGTTATACATGGAACCCTTAAGTCCAGACCTAAACATTTCATGTTGCGAGGCACCCAGAGTTCAGAATTGGGATCAAAAACTGAGGACTGAGTTTTACAGACAAGGGCATACTTTCTTCTAGACAAAAAGTTTTGGTACTTCATAAGCACAGCTTGCTTCAAAGCCTCTTCTGAATTTTGATAGTGCTTCATTGTCTTGTCAAACAAGCCTTGGATATATTTTCCCCGTTTGAGCCCTGAAATCAGCTTATCCATGGTTTGATTGTCAGCAGTAGATGACACATAATCCCAAGCCCCATAGAGTGATCCTTCTTTTCCCCCATGTATAAATTGTAAGACATTTTTGGTTTCATGTCTTCTTCTATATCTAGTACTAGAATTGACATTTGTAACCATCTCATAAGTAGTAGTAGTATTTTGTCTCCTACTGACAGAAAACCCTTTCTGCTCAAGCAAAGATTTAAATTTGTGGTATTGCTCATTTAATTCCTTGACTTTCTCCTCTTGCTGTTGAACTTGAAGTGTCTTTTCTTCTACACTTCTTTCAAGCCTTTCAAGTTCCCCTTCAGCTGCATCCTTTTGAGCTACTGAGCTTTCCACTTGTTTGTCTGTAAAAACAAAGTCAAATATTCAGAAGTTATTTGCAAGATGAAATAAAGTATTAAATTTATATAAATATCAGTCCTGATTTTAATATATTAAAAAGGAGAAACTTATGGCCTTTTAAAACACTCTGTAATATTTACCAACTTCATCCAGACGAGCCTTTTTGGTGTGAAGTTCTTCTTCTATTTTCCTATTTTCTTCATTTAATTGACCCTTCCTTTTCAAAGCTATATGCGAAGTTGAACTTTTCCAAAACTCATGAAAAACTCTCTTTGAATCACAGCGTCCAGGGTGAGCATTGGGCTTGCTGCACTTTTTGCTTTTTCCACATGATTGCTTTCGACTACAACAAGAAAGAAATCCGTTTTTATTCATGAGTCTTTCTGAAATCAAAGATGGTCTCCAAGTAAAGACACGTATTCTGTCAAAGCCATGCTCAAAACTATTTTCTTTACCTCTCTTTCCCTTCAACGCCTGAGAGATTGTGTTCCATATCGAAAATTGCCAGTAAAAGGTCCTTCTATTGCTGTGCTGTATGAATGGTCGATGCCAGTGATGAATCCAATATGGCGGCCAACAAGAAGCTTCGAGTACCCAATAAACTCTGGGTTTAAGACAAACAAATTTATAGCTCTCTGCTCCCAAAGCAAGAATAAATAAAGACAAAAGGCATCGATAAAGCTTTTTTATTTCATATTAGGGAGGTTACAAAAAGGAAATATAAAGAAATTCGCAATTTCCTCCACGAACCACTCTATCATAACATCACAATTTAGTTTTTTGCTCTCCCAAACAATCCTATGGGGGGATCCCGAAATTGAAAAGAAGCGCTAATATGGGAAGACTGTCCCTACCCTGGAAAAAGACGGTTTGGTCCAGTCCTAGTCAATTTTTAACCCAGAAATGTGCCTTAGAGTGGGACTTAAACAGATGTCATAATCCGTCTCTAGCGGAAACATATGCAATCGGAACTATTAAAAATCGGTAGTTGGAAGGTTGGGCTATTATATGATGGCTAAATATAATCATATTGGCTGTCGTAACCAACGAGCGGCTATTGAAAGCAACATTATTTTGAGCACAAACAAACGACGCCATCGGAGGGCCGCTTGGTCACGTGACCAAAAGGACGCTATGGGAGGAAAATGCCTAGCAACGAGCCACCGTGTTTGCAAGATATTTTGTTTTGAACATTTTAATGCTTAAAAGAACCGATCCACGCCATTTTTAAATGTCTTCAGATGAGAACGACAATCTTTCCGCATCGGAACTATCATCTTCAACTGAATTTTCAGGCCTGAAAGATGATGACCTTCGAGAACTGTTTGATACCGACAAAGAGGAAGATGAGTTTTCGGGTTTTGATTTTAATTTGCCTGAAAACATGCAGTGGGAGAGGCAGCGCTTCAATGGAAACATGTAACTGTTTACACTAAGACCTGCTCTCACAATCAACTTACCTGATTCCAGTAAGGCTGTTGACTTTTTCTCATTGTTTTTCACTGAGGAAATCTTCCGTAAAATGGTCGAATTCGCAAACAAGAACGCTCAGAAAAAGCGAGCACCAAATTGGCAACCGGTCACATCTGAAGAGCTGAAGGCATTTCTAGCTGTATTGATCATTACAAATGACATGATTGTTGTTCCACGCGACAAGCGATACTATTTGTCATCTTCAGAAACAAAGTTATTTCACATTCCAGGAGTGAAAAACGTTTTATGCTCTCAAAAACATTTCTTCCAATTAACATCATACATATTCTTTTGCGATCCAGACCATGAACAAATGGAGGAAGAGAAGAAAGACCCTTTGTACAAAGTAAGAGGACTTTAGCATGATATTGTTCAGAAATTCAAGAACCTTTTCAACTGTTCCCGTGAAATCTCCATCAATGAAGCGATGGTTCCTTTCAAAGGAAAGCTTTCCATTAAGGTGAGAATGCCAGATAAGCTGGTTAAATTTGGTGTGAAATTCTTTGAACTCTGCGATGCCAAGACTGGCTATTGCAAAAATTTTTCAATCTATGCTGGGAAGGATGACAGAGAGACTGGGTGCTATTGGGAAGACTGGTAAGATTGTTCTGGATTTGGTGGCAGATCTACACCATACAAACCATCATCTTTATGCTGACAATTTCTATACCTCTAGNGGGTGGACCTAACTGCCGTATCCCACTTTCTGCCATAAACTTTAGTTTTCTGGCATGGCGATTCTTCTCAGACAAATTAGACGGCAATGAATTCATGAAATTGTCAACCTTGTTAACATGAGATTTCCTGATTTCTAGAGTAAATGGCTTAAATAAATCTTCTTCCCTCAACCCAATTGTAGCACCCATGGTACACATGTTTCCTTTGCTAACATTAGCATAAGGAGAAGGATAAGTAGCAGCTTGATTTAATTCATTATTAGCCCAGCTCTGCCGGCTCATATCAGCACTTGGCTGAAACTCTAAAGTACATTGCCTGTCACAAACATTAAAAACATTACCGTCTAACATTTCCATTTCATCAGTATGTTGCTTCCAAATACTTTCAAGCACCTCATGTTTTTCCCCCAAACTGACACAGTGTAAAATATATTGGAAATCCCTACTTCTTACCCTATCCCCAAAGTTCCAACATGTCAGACTTCCTATTGACATAGTTAGTTGGCTGGACTCAGGAGCCCCATCATCAGAAAATTGAAATATAAAATGATTTGTGTTCTCATTGAACCAAGTGAGTTTACGTGACAAATGAGGAAGTCTCAAGTGCAAATCAATTACCATAAATACCAACCCAGTTATTGTTCTAGAAACACCTGATGCATTGGGGATTTGATTGACATGGCCAATGTCAAGACTCTTCACAAAATTTTCCACCCGCTTATCAGAAATAGTTATACATGGAACCCTTAAGTCCAGACCTAAACATTTCATGTTGCGAGGCACCCAGAGTTCAGAATTGGGATCAAAAACTGAGGACTGAGTTTTACAGACAAGGGCATACTTTCTTCTAGACAAAAAGTTTTGGTACTTCATAAGCACAGCTTGCTTCAAAGCCTCTTCTGAATTTTGATAGTGCTTCATTGTCTTGTCAAACAAGCCTTGGATATATTTTCCCTGTTTGAGCCCTGAAATCAGCTTATCCATGGTTTGATTGTCAGCAGTAGATGACACATAATCCCAAGCCCCATGGAGTGATCCTTCTTTTCCCCCATGTATAAATTCTAAGACATTTTTGGTTTCATGTCTTCTTCTATATCTAGTACTAGAATTGACATTTGTAACCATCTCATAAGTAGTAGTAGTATTTTGTCTCCTACTGACAGAAAACCCTTTCTGCTCAAGTAAAGATTTAAATTTGTTGTATTGCTCATTTAATTCCTTGACTTTCTCCTCTTGCTGTTGAACTTGGAGTGTCTTTTCTTCTACACTTCTTTCAAGCCACATCCTTTTGAGCTACTGAGCTTTGCACTTGTTTGTCTGTGAAAACAAAGTCAAATATTCAGAAGTTATTTGCAAGATGAAATAAATTATTAAATTTATATAAATATCAGTCCTGATTTTAATATATTAAAAAGGAGAAACTTAAGGCCTTTTAAAACACTCTGTGATATTTACCAACTTCATCCAGACGAGCCTTTTGGTGTGAAGTTCTTCTATTTTCCTGTTTTCTTCATTTAATTGACCCTTCCTTTTCAAAGCTACATGCGAAGTTGAACTTTTCCAAAACTCATGAAAAACTCTCTTTGAATCACAGCATCCATGGTGAGCATTGGGCTTGCTGCACTTTTTGCTTTTTCCACACGACTGCTTTCGACTACAACAAGAAAGAAATTCGTTTTTATTCATGAGTCTTTCTGAAATCAAAGATGGCCTCCAAGTAAAGACAGGTATTCTGTCAAAGCCGTGCTCAAAACTATTTTCTTTACCTCTCTTTCTCTTCAACGCCTGAGAGATTGTGTTCCATATCGAAAATCACCAGTAAAAGGTCCTTTTATTGCTGTGCTGTATGAAAGGTCGATGCCAGTGATGAATCCAATATGGCGGCCAACAAGAAGCTTTGAGTATCCAATAAACTCTGGGTTTAAGATGAACAAATTTATAGCTTTCTGCTCCCAAAGCAAGAATAAATAAAGACAAAAGACATCGATAAAGCTTTTTTATTTCATATTAGGGAGGTTACAAAAAGGAAATATAAAGAAATTCGCAATTTCCTCCACGAAACACTCTATCATAACATCATGATTTAGTTTTTCGCTCTCCCAAACAATCCTATGGGGGGATCCTGAAATTGAAAAGAAGCGCTAATATGGAAAGACTGTCCCTACCCTAGAAAAAGACGGTTTGGTTCAGTCCTACTCAATTTTTAACCCAGAAATGTGCCTTAGAGTGGGCCTTAAACAAATGTCATAATCCGTCTCTAGCAGAAACATATGCGATCGGAACTATTAAAAATCGGTAGTTGGTAGGTTGGGCTATTATATGATGGCTAAATATAATCATATTGGCTGTCATTACCAACAACAAGCGGCTATTGAAAGCAACATTATTTTGAGCACAAACAAACGACGCCCTCGGAGGGCCGCTTGGTCACGTGACCAAAAGGACGCTATGGGAGGAAAATGCCTAGCAACGAGCCACCGTGTAGTCTGCCATGTTATGGGTTCCAACAGAAGAACTCTTCAAATTCATACAATTAACTTGTTTTAATTGGTGTCTCTGATTATTGCAGGCAACAGTTGGGAGGCCTGTAAGTGTTTTGTTTCCACAACAATTTAAGTGTGTATCATAATTTTTAGATTTCAACAAATGCAACCAAAAAAATACTTTACATTGAGCCTGGTTAACATATTTCACTCAATATGTTTAATTATCAGCTTGGAATGCAGTAGAACCATGAAGGAAAAAGAGAGCTCCATTTCAGGGATACGGAATTGGTGGTAAAAGAATAAGGCAAAAGAATGCAAAATAACGATTATATTATAGCTATTTTTACAGTCTAAGATGGAGTTTGTCACAATGAAATGCCAGTATCGGGCTTTGCTGTCACCGTATGATTTGTAAACAACACCAGTTACACCTGTGTGCATACTAATTGGCACTTGGAAAATTTCATAATTATGTTTTTTAGTCTATACTGCTTTTCACTAACATTTGTTTGTTGTACTTTATAGGAATTCCATGTTACGAAAATGTGTTTTAATTGCCGAAAACCAACTCGCAGCTGCCAAGGGCAAAATCCCAAAAATGGTAATTCTAATTCTTAACAGAATCACACAAATTTTGAGCAATGATTTGATAAAGATTTTCATATAGTACTTTAAATAGTCCTGATGGGGGAATATCACCTCTGAGGAGGTCTTTTGGGGGAAAAGGGAGAAAAAACAATTTTTTTACTGGAATCTGCAGTAGGCATCTGAAATTGCATCACAAGAACAATTTCAAAAATTAAATGCAATTTCTTGAGAAGCGTATCAGTGTTGGGAAAAATCTCTTCCATGGAGGTGGTGGGGAAATATGGAGCTACGCATTGTAACTTTGGCAAGGCTTCTTGCTGAGCGAGGATTTAGTCATATGGTAGAAATCCTGTAGTGCAATGCCAACGCGTTGGTTTTTCGAAGCCTGCACATTATTGCAAAAGCAAGTGTGACACAATTTGCAGCTGTTCCTTTAATTTTAACATCACTTTCTTGAATGCCACACGCACCAAGCACGAGATAATAAACCACGGGACAGAAAATTTGCACTACTGCGTGGGAACACCTAGTGATTTTGTTTGGCTTGTTACATACCAACATGTTGTCATAGGTACTCTGACATTTCATTAGAAGCATTTTTGTTTACAGTATTTAGAACCTCTGGATACAATTCTGAATGATTTGTTATAGTGTTAGCTGCGGCATGCCAGTTTTTGTCACATATTTGCCTTACCAAAAATTTAGTCGTCTCGTCACGGGGAATTCTTATGAGGACATTTTATAAACAACTTTGACTTCAAGGCCGCCTAGGGGAAGATTATCTTTATTTTCCCTCTCAGATGTTTGAAGCCTCTCCTGCCCAAATTCCAAAGTTTTCCAAGAAGACTTTTCGTTGTTTGTTTTTGCTACAGGCGATAACACTCAAACTGATTTGTGGATCTGGCGTTTCCAGCAAACACTTCTTTACTGGAGTTGCCTTTGTAGGAGTTGACTTGCTAATTTTACCTTGTATCGATTCCTGGACGAATGAATACAGTGATCCAAGATTTCAAATCTTGCAAGAACAAGGATTACTAATGCAACTTGAATACTTCTCGCATTTTAACTTTCTGGCAGATTTGTGCTAAAACTTCATCCTTGCAGTCCTTCCTTTTAGATGGATTGAGTAGAAATATAGCTTGATTATAAATTACCAAATTTAATTATAATTCATCGAGATTTCTCCTTTCCCACCGTGTGCTCTTTGTTTCAGATATATTTTGACAAGTTAAAGTTTATTTTGGTTCAAAGTTCTCTTCCGTTACGGAAGGCCAAAGATTTTATTGCTTAATTTATGACAGCCGATGACAGCACGAAATCTCAGTGTGCACACTCTGACATGAAAGGCCAAGTGGGCAGTTTTCAAAATCCAGGGGTTTGTCTATAAGCATTTCCTTCCTTCCTTCCCCTCCCCCTCCCCCTCTTTTACTCGCTCCATTTTTTGTGCTGTAAGTCTTTGCTCCCAAACCCCACAGAAACGCTTGCTACGCAGGCTAGTCATTCACAAGAAGACCATTTTATGATTGACAGGGACATCGCATTCACGAAACCAGGTAAGCAAATGGTTTTTAACATACTGTAATATGGATACCATTTATTTTTGTTGTTCTTTTTGTTATTCTCTAATTCTCCAACAGAGTATAGCCCATTATGCAGTCAAAGCGAGAGCATATATTTGATTATTTTTGTTCATACAGATATGTGTTTCCTTGGGTAAATGTTACCTGGTGCAGTTGACCCACTGGGGCATTTACTTGCCTGTGGTTAATTTTAATTTTTATAATAATGTAAAAAAGACTGAAAAAACAATCACCAAGAATCAAACCATTAATCTGCTGTAATATATATCTACCACTGGCTAAAAGAATATTAGCAAAATGATGTTTTCTGAAGATAAAAATTAAACAGCCAGAAAGTACATGTACATGTAATTTATCTGTTGCTTTTAATTCTTATTATCAATTTTTTTTATAAATCAATTATTTTTATGTTGCTGTGTTATAGATTAATTTAGCAGCAAAACTGTTTTTTTCAAGGATTGTCAATTTGTCAACGTGACTTTCACCATGTACAAGCGAAGAACAAGTTTTCTTCCTTGCTGGTTGGTATTAATGTCTGGCCACCAAATTACCTCAATTCATGGGTTGCTCTTCCCTTGCCATTGCTCACCACCAACAATGCTCTGCATGTTGGTTGCTAACTCTGTTGGCCAGTGAGCCCTGATGCATTTGCTTTTCCATAGGGGATAGCTGACATACCAGAGAGTTGGACTGCATTGGAGCCTTCACTTCCTCCTCATCCCTAAAATTGAAGCTTGCTTTAACCTTCTCCAGAGCAAAGCACTTCCACGATCGCATGCACACCTTCTTTTCTAAAGAGGTGGTCTCCAATGGGAGTGTTCATCTATTCCGTTCACAAATGCACTTTTCAAACGTTCTATAGCAAATACCACATTTCTACAGATATGCCTTAGTTTACTAGTAAGCAAAGATCACCATTGCATTACATTTGCCATCCATAGCAATGATAAATGCCACATTTGCTCCATATTTGTCATTTGGAGAAAGTGCAGTACAAAGTTTTAAATTTTTGTTGATTTTCCTTATGGACCAAATATGCATGCAATTTTGATTATTTACACTTTGTTTACATATACTGTAAACAAACAATTAATGTTTCTCTTTGACATGGACTTGCTTCTGTCTTAACCAGACGTGCAAAGAAAAGCAAACATGATCCAACATTCAGTTTTGAACATGTTTGCACTGAATGGTAACAGCAGGCAGACTTTTAGCTTTAAACAAGTTTGCAAGGCATACGAAATGTAATCAAATGTTTGGTTTTGAACATGTTTGCTCTAAATGGTAACTGTTGGTAAACTTAGCTTCAGACAAGTTTTCCAAGCATAGCAAATGTGATCAAATACTCAGTTTTAAACATGTCTGCACTTAATGGTAACTGTAGGTACACTTTCGGCTACAAACAAGTTTGCCAGGCTTAGCAAATGCAATCAAATGTTCAGTTTCGAACGTGTTTGCACTGAATGGTAACAGCAGGCAAACTTTTAAAATTAAACAAGTTTGCAAGAAACAGCAAATTCAATATCAAAATTTAAACTCATTAACATGTGGTGCAGTGTGGGTGAATGGCTAGGGGCAAATCACTGGTTACAAGATTATTAAGTATTATGCAACACTATGGCATATTCATTGAGTATTTTTTAACAAGAATTATGAATTAAAATTTTTAACAAATTACAATTAAGTAGCACAAAATTGTGTCCACCCTTACTGCCCCTTCGTCCATTTAGCCGTCCTTGACTCAACTGTCCATTTGTGGTCCAAACAAGTACTAAAAACAAGCCATCCATGCAATTACTATTTAAATGACTCTGAACAAGTCCACATTTACTCGACATACATTCCTAATCAGCTGAGCTATCAGCTGAGCTATCTTGCTAACCTACACAAAGGTTTGATTCAAACCATCCTTTCACATCTTCTATGATATCTCTTTAAGAGGAAAGATCTATATCACTCAATGTTAAGTTCCCATACTTTGCTGGATAATTAACTAAGACATAATTCTTGTGAATTAAAGTTTGAGCAAGCAACTTGGAAACCACTGGCTTAGGCTTTCCTCGCACACTTGAAACTTTGAGAAATTGGCAAGCAGGTAAAATCTGGTTGTGCAGTTTCACATCAGAAATTTTCTTTTCCCCAAATTCCACCATGAGGATACCCACTGAAATGGTAATACAGAAAAAGACTATCAAAGTAAGTGGAGTACATGTATGCACCAGTCAGTGCCTAAAACAGTTTATTTTGAAAAGGATTTAGAGGAGTTTTTTGTGTGCACAAAACATGAGAAGACAGCAATCAAGGGAACATTAAGAACAATGTCATTCTCTGGAAAACTTAGTTTTTTGTCATGGAATAAAAAAGTAAAATTTACAATCAACTGGCCCTTACTGTCTGTTTCTCCCTCTTCAGACATGTTATCACTGTTGTCACAACTTGAACCACGAGAACTTGCAACACTGTCATTAAGTGCTTTCTTTTGGCGAGGTTCAAGGTCACTACTACATTCACCTGAACTTGATCTCCGTTTGCTCTAAACAATTAGAAAAGGGGTCAGTTACAATGTGTTAAAACATTTATGCTATAAAATTTTGGCACAGAATCCACACAAATCCCCCAGAAGACCTTTGACAATTTTGAACAAATTATTAACTTCAGTCAATTCATAAATGTAAAAGTTACAAAGGCCACCTGTTTTTGGTTTTTCAGTTACCTTTAATAAATAGAATCAGTTTCAGCAGGCTGACTGGTTTTAGATAAACTAATTATTTTAATAAATGCTGCTTTATAAAATGAGACACACCTCCATTACTGTCTCCTTCATTTTCCTCCACAGCAATAACACTGCCACCTGAAACTTAAACAATAACAAATCTAATCGAAAAGGTTGGATCTTATTCGGTTTTTCAGTATTTCTTTAAATCACGGATTAAATCAGTTTCAGCAGGCTGGCTGATTTTAAATCAAGTAAAATACTCTTATTAGGGCCGATTTATAAATAAGAGACACACCTCCATCACCAACTCCTTCATTTTCACCCTCAGCAATAACGCTGCCACCTGAAACTTACATAAAAACATATCTTATTGAAAAGGTTGTATCTTATTTGGTTTTTCGCAGGCTGGCTGGTTTAAGATCAACCACATGTATTTTTTACGGGACTATTCACAAAGTACAGGAGAAGGGGAGTAGTGGGCCAGAGTATTTGAAAATGTGGTGTTAGAAAACACACTACCCACCTCTTCTATTTCAGTGTCCCACCACTAAATGAGGGTTTCAATGGCATGACCCACCCCCAATAAGACAGGACATTTTTGGTTGCATAATCCAACTTCTGAAATTGCGATATTATTATGTTTTAGATCTATTTCTTAACTCTAATACAAAATCATCTAAATATATTATTGTTTCCTTTTGCTCTTGAAACTTTTAATCATGTCAGTTAACTGTAAAAAAAACATGACCTTAAACCTTTCAGTTCTAGCTGCCAGCGTCACTATGCATGGCACAGTGATCCATCGAGAGAAAGGTTGTAGTGAGTTCCGACTGTTTTGTTTTTCTGAAAGTAACTTTGAACGATCTCAGACATGTTATTCCTTTCTTGAACATTAACAATTATACATGTACGTTTAGGATTAAACACATAAAATTCCTTTGTCTTATGCGGTATCATTAGTCATTTATAGTGCAATTTATGGGGAATGAACTCTTTGATTTTTATCCTCTCTTGATAACCTGTATCACCACTAAATGTAATAACAACACTAAATGTAGTACCAACCGTAAATGTAATAAAAATTAACTCTAAATGTAATACTAACCACAAATGTAATAAAAATCAACCCTATATGTAATAACTTACCCCTCCGAAAATGTAATACAATTTAACGCTAAATGTAACAAGCTGACCAACCGTAAATGTAATACAAATTAAGTAACGCTTCGACCAAGACGGAAAGAGAAAACAATAGGCCCTAGCACTGGGAACCATTGGATGGTTTAGCCTGATCAAGTTCTAATTGGATTAGTAACAAACTTTTTATTGGTTAAGGACATATTAGCGTGAAATTCAAACAAGCATTCTCCGAAAAATAATTCTTGCAGTGTGATCGCAAAGCTAAATTTAGCACGTTATACACATATTAACGTAACAAGTAAACCTTTGAAGTTTCAGCGAAATTGTATGTGAGGAAAGTTACAAAGGTGGTAAATCTAATCTCTGTCATGTTTCCTATCCAGAATGACAGAAACGTCATTTACATGTAATATCATTGGCTGAAATGTTCGCGCAAAAATCTGACACCAAATAGCGCGTTTTCTTCAGCAAAACAAAACAATAGCAAATGTAAAATGTAACTTCATTGATCCCTGCACAATGTTTTTCTTGATGTCAGCATTAGACTGTAACTTCACTAGAAATCTTCAAAAAGATCAAAATCTGACAAAATGTTCAACACATCAAAAAATATTCTCCACCTGTGGCTGAACCAATGTCTAAAGTAATTCTTCCATTTCCAAGTCGTGGAAATGTCTTTGTTAGAAATAGTGCTTCTTTCTCTTCTAGCTTTATTCCCCTTGCACGAATGTCTTGTACAGAGTAGTAACAACACAAACAAGCAACAACAAGAACGCTGAACTGCTCGTTGAAGGAAATGTTTATGTTTCTCAAGCAAAGAAGGGACCCTTTGGCCTTGAATATCGCTTGTTCAGATATTTCCATACAGCTCTCGATGTTCAGCGTCTCAAGATGCTTTGCTACGCCAACAAGTTTAAGAAAATCTTTCGAAGAGATGGCAGTCCTGTTTAAGTTTCACCATGTTGACTTTGAGAAGAAACAAAGCGGTACTTTCTGATACAGCTTTCCTGTGTCGGCTAAATGGAGTTGTTCACAATGTTGCAATGCTTGGGCAGGTGACTTGCGTCCTTGAAATACAAAACGCCACCATGCAAGACAAACAGAGGACACACTCACTAGATCCTCTGGCTCGAGATACTCAAACACCAGCGGCCAAAAAAGAGCAGAACTTCATTCATTTTTTCCACGCTTGTTGGGGTGCCGAAAACGAAAGAAATGCACGGAGATCGATGCGTACGTGACTGAAATATCTTGCGCGAGGTTCTGATTTCAATTTGCGAAAAATTCACACCTTGTGATTGGAGGTATTCTCTGTGGAGTTTCCGACAGGTTACTGTTGTCACTGTTCTTTTTCAAAGGTTGTGGTGAGCTCATAGTTGTGAATCAGGTCTTTTAG